ATACTAACCATAGAAATACTAACTGCATAAGCATTTAGAGGATCTATGTATTGTAAACACCATTATTGTATAAACCCATGCTAACATATATTTAAGAGTTATGCATTTAAAAACAATGTATTTAAAAATGTTTAACTATATCCTCTTGGATATTATTAGAAAAATCTCTTACCAAAATGCTAAATAAAAATGGTAAATAAAACATCCACATATTGTTTTCCTATAATTTACACAAAAAAGATTAGTAATAGTATAAATAAAACAAGTAACTGACATTATAATAACGAATTTATTTGGAAAAAAAAATCAGAAACGAGGAATCCCAGTTGTTTACGATTGATCAACATATGTAAATTCAGATGTATCAAATATGTCAACATTCATCATCTTTTCTTTTATAATTTGATAAAAATAATATTACTTACCAAACAGAAAAAAAAGACAAGAAATGGTTTTTTGGGATTTAAAAGCGAAAATATGACTTAAAATTATTTAGTATTAATTGACATAGCAACCTAACAGCAAGATAAATTACAAACCACGTATTTCATTTCCCTTTCCTTCTACCTGATTTTAATACCAACTTTGACTTTGATTTTTTTATTTTACTATGTTTTTTATTTCTTGAATGAATACTTTTTTTCTTCTTATTGGTACTTTTTATCTTGGTACTAAAGTATTAATTCGTTTAAATTGATTGGAATATAAAAACATTAAATGTATAAGAATGACTATTGTACACATACCTTTTTATTTTAGATATTAATCTCATATCTTGACCACCTTCATTTTTACTCTACAAATGATATGAATCAACGAAAAATATACTAGAAGCCAATAAATTTGCAAATTTTACTTACCATCTTGTTATCAGCATCAAGTTTAATTTTTTTAGATGTATTTACGAATTCGGTGTTTTCAGAAACATTAAAATCTTCAATTACTGTCACAGTTGTCAAGATTTGTGGCGTTTTATACTCTGATATTTGTGCCTGTGGGTCCTTTTTAGTCTCTTCTTCACTGTCATCCTCATCGTCATCATGATCACCATCATCATCTTCTTCAATATCATTTGCAACTAATGAAGGATAAGTAATAAAGGTTAGGCTAACAGTCTATGAAAAATGTAAGCAGTTGAAATCCGGAGCGTCGTTTTACAAACAATTATCATGTACCATTGACCACTGAATACAGCATCCAGGGACTTTACTTATGAACTTCAAGAATTCTATGAATATTACGGGTATTATTAATGAATTCAGTTATTTCAGATGCTTTATGTGATAATATTTTTTTAAATGATACTGTATGCAGTGGTTCAACAGTAGTTAATAGAATTAGTTGAGTCATCTAAATAAAGTAATGCAAACATAATCAAAGACATTCGCTCCGCTCTGGATAAGTTATAATAAATCTAAATAATGAAAAATTACTATTAATCATTGCTTGAGTTGCCGCCAACTTTTCTTCAATTTGTTTCATTCGCGCTTCCTTAGCCTAATACAAATTATTTCTACATTAATTTAATAAATACATTTTAAAATTTCTTTGAAAAAAAAATAGTTTACAGCTTTTTTTGCTTCGGCCTTCTCTTTTTTTTCTCGTTCTAAAGCAGTTTGCTTTGCTTTTGCTTGTCTTTCTAACTTTCGCTTATGAAATCCTGTTAAATATTCTCTATAAAAGCAAATATAAAAATGTTAATAAAAAATATATATACAGTATATATAAATAAAAAATATAATTATAGATAATTTGGTTAATACCGTCTTGCAGTTTCATCGAATACAATTTCTGGAATTTGATCATTTTTCCTTTTACGCTTTTCAGAATATATTCTACTCCCTTCTGTTAGTAAGGTTAAGTTGTCCATTTTTTTTTAATGAAATAGGAAAATTTCTGAAGCAATTAAATTATCGTTACCGTTATCGTTATCAAAAAAAAAAAATTTTTTGTAATACAAAAAATAGGGTGACAATATAGTCAACCAATCAAATTAAAAGCATATACTGTATAATATATATGGTAAGATACCAAGAGAAAACCTGTAAATCTTACTAGCGGGTTTTCTCTTGGCGACACTCATATATAGGATCTTTGCTAGGAAAATGACCCTCCGAGGCAATATTGATTTTGTGAATAGAAATTAAATATGCCGGTCATCTAGTCATCCAATTCGAATGATCTTTTTTTTATTTTGTAGAGCTCACAAAATAAAAAAAAGATCATTCCAATTGGATGACTAGATGACCGGCATATTTAATTTCTATTCACAAAATCAACATAGCCTCGGAGGGTCATTTTCCTAGCAAAGATCCCATATATTCATTTAATTATCATATTAAGAAAAAATTAAATGACATAAAAGCTATTTGAATTAAAGTATTGGGTTGCAAAGCACTGCCTACCCGTCCCGTGTATGTTTATAAACAATAAATTTTTTGCAAGTAAATCTTATTAAAATATAATTTCTTTACTATATGGTCGTGCCCAATTAAAAATAATAAATCACGAGTTAATCTTCGAGACTTGAACCGAAGAGCCAAATAAAATCTTAACTGAGTCTTAACGACTAAATTTGCAAATAAAAAATCGCGAAATATGATAAATAATTTTATTAATTTTAATAAATTATTATCTTCGACATTTACACAATTTAAAATGCGTTTGATGATCTAATTGGTATAAACCAATTTCGCCGACAACCATTTCGCCGACAAATTTTGACCCAATTTAGTTAGGGTTACTCTGCTTTATAGTCAGGTTGGATGGAGATTGTCGGCGAATTCTACCAGAACCGTTTTCGCTTAAAGTTTTAAAATAAACGTGCTAAAAAATAACTACAGTATATATAACTACATACAGTTGACGAACATATTAAAATAAACCATATATATATATATATTTTTTTTACTAAGTAATCTGAACCTCATTTACTAAGTAAAGTTGTTCGAAATACCATCTTTTACTTATCCTCAAATTTTGGCGCAATATTAATAACTGATTACTAATAAGTTTTTTCTACCCAGAAAATCAATTTACTGCGTCGAAACGTATAACGAAAAAATAGTATTTCGAACAACTTTACTTAGTAAATGAGGTTCAGTTTACTTAGTAAAAAAACGGTTTATTGTAATATGTTCAGTCCGTCAAAATAACCAATTTACTTTATAAAATGTTAATGTCAAAAATACCCACAGTGAAGTTAGAAATTATTGTTACATAGAGTTCATGAGTTTTTTTTTTATATTGTAGAGCATACTCAAATTTACATAGTTCAAAAACAAAAAAATAAAACAAAGTTTTTGACAAACTTTTATATTTACCTTATGTGATTTTGATCAATTTTTATTTGTTTCATTTCTTAGCATTAGTAAAAAATCCGAAAAGAAAACCAAATTTGTAGTCTAATAAATAATATTTTATTATCCTTTGTTAAAAGATAAATAAATTTTACATTTTTATGAATCTAAAATCATCTGGTTAAAGTAGAATTATGAACAGATACAATAACAAAAAATTTTTGCAATAGTGTTAAAAAGGTCTAAATATTAGTGTTACAAAGGGTTTAAAAGGTAAGACAAAAAGTTATTTTAGTATTTCTACGTATTTTTAGAGCACATTTGATAAAGCAAAACTAATGATGGCTAACGATAATCCAACAAACGATGGATAAAAACTATTGGCGTCTGAAGTCTTTGAATTAGAATTAGATGCACTGGCAGTAGTAGTACTCTTGGCAGAACTACCACTTGCAGCTGGCTTAGAGTCTGTGGGAGCCGAAGAAGCGGCAACTGCGTTATTGGGACCAGCTTTAGGAAGAGAGTTGGAAGAACTAGGGGAGGGATTAGTGGAGATAGAATTGGAGCTGGCAGGAGCGGGGGTAGCAGCACTGGAGACGGTAGATGTTGAATTGTTTAAGCATTGTCGAGTACCGGTAATATTTTTGATATTAAACGAATGAGAATATGCAGTGTATTTATCGTTATACACCTTGATGAAACTATAAGTTATTGATTAATAATAAAAGTCAGATTTTTTGGATATATAAATTTTTTTTTTTCGAATGATACAAATGATAATGATAAAAACGTACTATTGATCTGATTCAGGTCCAAGGGTCGTGGGA